ATGGAGCCTAAGGCGGAGCTCCACCCTGAGATCATGACCTGAGCTGAAATCAAAGAGTCAGAAGTTCAACCCAACTGAGCCACCCAGGCGCCCCAATTCTAACTTACTTTAATGCTTTCTTCCTGAATATCTGGACACTGAATAACAAATGTGTTATGTGATAAAACTTTTTAAAAAATTCTGGTTTTGCCACTCAGATTTTCTAATACTATTACTAAACTAATATGACTAAGAATAACTATTTTCCCCTAATTTTCAAAATTTGGGATCATAATCCAAGAAGAGTCACGACTTGAAAAGGAAAGGAAAGTTACTCTTCACACCTAAGTAACACTCTTTATGGTTTACATGAGTATAGGCATATTATAGGATAAGCTCAGTACGTGGGGGTGAGTACCTGGGGGATAAACTACTGATGCAATATTTTAAAGTAACTGAACACACAAAAAATTGAGGAAGTATAATAAAATTATAAATGACAGTGATAATACTTTGGTTTTTGTGTCATGCCTTGTCCCTCAGGAATACAAGATTTCTCTGTTAATCTCATCATTTAACAGATAGAGTTCTATATTGCTGTCTCTTTTTCAAAGGACACAATTAAATGATAGGCAGTTATGTGCCTGGCCTTAGGCCACAATGGAAATCACTAGTAGGGTCAGACTCATAAATCAAGACTCATGCTCTCCATCAAGTGTCTTTGGCTTCACAGTTAAAGTAGACCATCTTCAGTTAAATCTCCACATGAATACCATTCCATTGAATGAGCCATAGTTGATACTAGAATATATCTATTTTTTAGTAGCATGGTTTCCAGAAGATTTTTCTGCCAGCATAGTGCTACTCCATTAGCAACACACTCAGGCATTTCATTTATTCTAATTTAATTTGTGCTCGAGTATTTTTTTGGACATTCGACAACTTTAAGTTACTTAATGGGTCGGAGATGTCAAGAACTATTCATTGTGATGGACCAAGCTTCTTCGTTCTAACCTTATAAACAAACTTCCCCAAAGGGAAGATAATATCATTAATGCATCCTGTCATCACTTACTTTCTTCTTTCCATTTCAAATCTATGGAGTAGTTTCCGAAGACCACCATTCTTAAATCCCTGAAAATGGGCAGCTGGGGCTCCCACAGTGATGACATCATAGAGAGCATCTGGAACAGGAATGGACAAGGAGATTAACACTTTGCAAACATTTGTCTCCAGCATGCTATCTGCATTGAACATACACACTGTGGGAAGTTTGAGAAATTATTCTGTTTAATTTTGCAGAACTAACTGAACTCTCATCTCAAGGGGGCAAGAGGAACTAATCAATCTTTCTAAAAGCCACCTGTGCACCTACACAAGTTATAATATTTCTTTGATTTATGACTACATCTTAATTATATGCTACTGTATGGAACAGTATGTTCCCTCATTCTTCTATATACTTACTGAGATAACATGTTAATTGGTCTTTTGTGTATTTTGCCTTATTGAGTTTTGCATCATTTAATTTGCAATCATATTGAAATTCAACAATAATGAACAATCTTTACAGAGAAAATTTACAGAGAAAAGAACCAAAATATTAATTCATCTTGGCTCAAGGGCAGAACAGTACTAGTGCATTTTAAAAAAATCTATACAGATCAGTTTCCTTTCTGTGTATACTAAATCTTACAGTTTTGAAAGCATGCTTTTGCAATTTTCTTAGATGACACAGAAAAAATACACACAGTGTCTCTAGATCTATTTTCCACCATGACACTTTGGTTTTTTTTTAATAAAAAATCCATACATTTAAATTGAAACTCAATCCTTTGATCTTGAAAGCCATCAAGTTTGATACATATTAAGTTTATGGCTTCAAAACACAGCATCATTTTTACCTTCTAATGAAAAGTATCCCCATAAGAAGGAAGACAGAGTGAACATCTCTTGTTAAACTACATTTTATTTGAGAAACCTAATTTCATAGTAGATCCTTTTCAAATTGATTTTGGTATTGACACTGGTTGTTTTTCAGTTCTCATTTACAGGGAAAACATAAATTATTTTATTAGCTTCAGGTAAACACCATAACTTCTTTATACTGGTTCAATCCAAATGCACCTGAAATATTTTTCTTAATAAAAAATGTCTTCAAGTGAAAGACTTCAGCAACACTGAGAGAACTCAAGGTCACACAAACAAAACAAAATAAAACAATACAGAAAACAAACAAACAAACAAACCCAGAATGTAACTCAAATCAACCTATCACTTACTGAACAGCCACTCAATAGATTGTTAGTGGTAATCTCTTGCCCTTTTAAAAAGTCACTAATAAACTAAAAGTTAGCTTTTCTTAATATAGCAGAATATTAGACTTGCATGAAATTTAAAGACTTCTTCATCCTGGAGATTTTAATCTAGGGTTAAGAAAAGGGTTTCAGGGAGTCCATAAATATATGCAAATTGTATGTCTGTTCTACTTCATGGAAAAGGGTCACAGCTTTCTCAGATGGTCATGAGAACACCCCAAAGTTATCAATACTAAATTCCAGTCCACTTTCATTTATCTGATGAGAACTCTGAGAACCTTGAGAAATGACCTGCTTTGTCTAAAGTCCCAAAGACCTTACACCTACGGTCTTCTGACTTCTAATCCAGGGATGGAAAGCCAGGGGTTTAAGTTACTGACTGGAACCTGAGTCCCTTGGTCTGGATCCCAGTTCTGCCACTTACAAGCTGTGCAGCATTAGGAAAATTACTTAACCTCTCTATGTCTTAGTTTCGTCAGGTAGATAATGAAGTTGAAAGTAGTTAAAAGTGGTGAGCATTCACTATTACCTATGATTATTTTCCCTATAAGAAGTAATCCTACCAATGAAGCAAAGAAAGATGATATTTTAAGTTTTGCTTATTTACTATGAAAATACACTTTTCAGTCTGAAAAGGAAAGTAATACTGAGGCTCAGTCTTCTGAATAGAATCAGTTCCTGTGTTAATTTAAAGTAAATGCAAAAAGAAACATCACCGTGATGCTGTCATGGAATATTCTGCATTTCTGCTAAAACCTGGGTGACCAACAATACCAACAATATATAGAAGTAACTAAAAACTGTATACATATGTCCCATTAGCCCAAACTAAATGCATTCCTAACTGAATTTTTTTTTTTTTAATTGCCTGTAGACTCTCACTGGATTCAAAAAAAGTTTGTGGCCTCTCCAACATCACCTAGCAAGAGGTGAACAATGAGGGAAGGGGAAATCTGAGTAGAAAGAGAGAACAGTCTTAACTGATGGAGGATTAAGCTTACTTTTGTAAAATTTGCAAAACACCTGACCACAAACAAGTTGTTAAGGCCCCTTGCAGGATCTTGTAAGAGGCCCATTCACAGGAAAAGCCCCAAACTTAAGTTGCACTAGCTTTCTAGTGAATCTGTCTCTTCAATTCACCTATAGTTTCAGCATTTTCCAAAGCTACTTTCTAGGAGCAGAAATTTTCTCTTTGTTCATACACTCTGCTCAGGGGAATTCTAGTCACCTATGAAGGAACCATGAAACTTGGAAGCAGCAGGTAAGGGAAGAGAAGCAAGTTGCTCAAATATTGTCCACTCTTCATAATAAAGAGCTGATTATTTTTAAATCTAAATGAAGGCGTGTGTGTTTCTTGAATCCAACTATAATAAAGAACTTCCAAGTTATTAACAAGTTCTTTCATATCCAAAGTTCTGACTTTTACTTGTTTCCATTCTATTTTCTGTTTATGAGCTCATCCAAGTTGTAGGTGTTCAATAAATGTCAATAAATAAACAAATATTCTGAGGCTCAATTCAGTTTGTCTTATATGTCTTTTTATTATTTTTTATTTTTTTATTTTTATTTTTTAAAGATTT